ATCTCCCTATGGCATTTTCCCTTGTACCTCTGGCCACCGTCTGGAAGGGTCCCTGTGGTGCCAGATAGGAATGGCCTGCTTGGGGATCCAGCAAGCTCCCAGGGCTTTTCCCACTGCTTCCTCTACCCCTGTATTTCACTTGGGTCTCTAAATTGACTCTGCTCCAGGTAAGGTCGAGGACTTTTCCCACAAACTAGACCTTCATTTTCCCCAGTGGGGGTGTGTGTTTGGTAGCAGATGTCTCCCTTTCCTGTTTCCACAGTTGGGTACTCATGGTATTTAGGGTGTCTCCTGGGCCCTGCAGGAGAAGTCCACTTCCTTCAGAGGGCCTGTGTGTCCTCTCAGGATTCCTGGTTTGTTCTTACAGTTGTTCTGGAGCTAAAATTCACCACACAAGCTTCCACATGCTGCTCTGTCCATCCAAGTCAAAGCTGCAATCTAGTCTTGCCTCCCATCCACCATGATGATCCTGAAGTCTAACTATTGTTTTTTATTCAACAGACCCTAGCATAGGACTTGCTCTGTGCTAAGCAGTTTGCTAAGCTGTGAAAGTTAGAGGAAAGGCCACAAATTCAGGAAGAAAAATGAATAAAATACTGTCCTTGTTTCCTAAAAGCCCATCGTCCAGCAGGGACATCACATGTGGTGGTCTGAAAGCATATCCACCTTCAAGATGACTCTAGTCTCAGCTCCTGTCAAACTGCAACTGCATGAGATACCCTGAGCAAAAACCACCCGGCTGAGCCCAGTCAACCCTCAGAACTATAGAGATAGCAATAATAATGACAAACAACTGCCATTGTTTTGTGCCACTAAATTTGGGGTGACTTATTTCCTAGCCAAACATAAGTAGGATGTATGTGTATTCTGTGTATCCATGTATCTAAAAGCCAGATAGAAAATGGTGAGTTTAAGAGAGGGACAGAGGATTAGATGTAGAGTTCCTAGAGAGCTTAAACAGCCCACCTACACCTTTTAGCATTTCCAGAGAAGCATCAGACCCCAGCCCCCTGAGCCCTTCTAACTATAGGGATACATATTGTGTTGCATGAGTGTTTTGTTGAAGACCTGCACACGTAAGATAACATGGAGGAAGCACTTCCCTCCTTCTTCTTTGTGGTTCCTTCTCAGTCTGCACCGCTCACCACTTTTCAGTCCTCTTTTGCATGAGTTAAGAATCTGGAGACCTGTTATTGACCACCTACTCTGGAATTTTTGCATGGGGCTCTTTTTGGCCTGTACCATCTTTGTGCCTCCATCCAAACCAAGACCGGAAGAGCTTCTTTGTTGCTGTTTTGTATGAGCACATACCCATTTCTTTTCTTTTCTTTTTCTTTTTTTCTTGAGATGAAGTCTCACTCTGTCTCCCAGTTTGGAGTGCAGTGGTGCAATCTGGGCTCACTGCAGCCTCCACCTCCTGGGTTCAAGCGATTCTTCTGCCTTAGCCTCTGAGTAGCTGGGCTGACAGGCATGAGCCACCATATCCAGCTAATTTTTGTATTTTTTTTTTTGGTAGAGATGGGGTTTCACCATATTGGCCAGGCTGGTCTTGAACTCCTGACCTCATGCTCCACCTACCTTGGCCTCCCAAAGTGCTGGGATTACAGAGTTGAGCCACTGCTCCCGGCCCACATACCCACTTCTTACAAGACTGGAAGGAAACCAATTATATCTAGTCAAAAGCCGAATACCAGATTTGCAAATGACTTGATTTTCTTCTCCAGACTTTTTTACTTTGCCAAATTTTTCGTGATGACCATTATTATTACATTGCCAATCAAATTCAAAACAAGGACAGCGTTTTTAAGGGCAGATTAAATTCCTGGCTCCATTTGGAATCCAGGGAATGGGAAAGGAGCTGGGAGCAGTTAATGAGAGGGCAGCATAAGTGGAGTCTGTGCTGAAATGAGACACCAAGACAGCTATTGAGAATGGGCTGGGCTGGGATTTAGGATTTGCAGTGGAGCAGAGGAGGGTCCCAGGGAATGGGATTCATGCCTACAGCACAGTTCAGGGAGCTGCTGAGATGCTGGAAAAAGTGGCTTCCTGCCAGGGACCTCAATGCTGTCATGGTAGATTTGTCACCTGGCCCAGTGGTATTTCCTAGGGACAAAGAGAAGCAGTCAAGCCCTCTGCTTCCCCACATTCACCCTGGCCTTCCTCGTCAGGCAAGTGATCTCGATTTCTTAAACCAGTATTTTCTAAGAGTGTTGCAGATTTCAGGAGCTTGCCACTGGAGCACCTGAGCAGCACCTTTGAGCAGGGCCTTTGGCATCTCCTCACTCATTCATTCATTCCTTCAATGACTGGCTTCTGTTAAGCATCTTCCATAGGCCAGGATTGTTCTTATGCGATAGCCCAGGTATGACTGTGGCACAATTATTGTCCTCTGGGACCTTACAGATGATTAACGAGAAACTTGGCCTTCAAGATGTAGCAGGCAGAAGTTCAGCAATCCTGAAGCCCTCCCAGAGACTTTAAGACAAGAAGCAGCCAGGCTGCTGGGCAGGACTGAGCCTGGAGCTAGCTGCTGGGCCTTGCCTGCAGCCATACCAACAGCCTTCAGCCTCTCCTTCTCCTACAGGGTCCAAGTCAGTGGCTCCCACTACAGTCCTGAGATTCCTTTCCACCTTTCCTTTATATGGGCCTGCTTTTTGCCAGAAAAGATAACTCCCCTAGCCCACAGGGACTGTGTGAACTTCATAGGATTCAAGAATCTCCCTAACTGTAAAGCATGCATCTGTGCATATTTCAGGGAGAGTTCAAAGCTTTCTTGAGATAACCAGAACCACAACTCGAAAAAGTTTAACATCATGGCTTCAGCCATCTGTACACCTTTGGGGATAAATGAGTAAAGTACAACCCATCTGGAATAATATGACAGACTAACTAATGGTTTCACTGCACTTACTATGGCCAGATACTATTCCGGGACTTTACGGATGTCAGTTTACTGACAACCCTGAGATTTAGGGGCAATGATTAACCACAGTTTACAGATGAGGACACTGAGACAGAGTTAAGTAAGTTAAGTAGTGGTGGAGTCCAGATTCAATCCAGACAGTGTGGCTGTCCACCACAGCTGGGATGGGGAGGGAAGAAGGAAGCACCCATTTGGCCTGATGGAGGGCTCAGAACATTCAAGGGTGCAACCCCTGCCCTTCATATCAGTTTTTCTGATTAGTGATTATTGCCCCTCATTTGACAGGTAAAAAACTGAGATTCAGAGAGGTGGAGTGACTTGCCCAAAGTCACACAGCTCAGCAGTGAGGGAGCCTGTCTGACTCCAAAGTCCAACGTCTGTCCAGAGTGTCCCAGGGGCAGGTGCCAGGAACTAAAGGGTAGTGACTGTGTGCTCATGGCAGGGACAAGCTGTCCTCCATCCCCAGGGCTGCAGCCAAGCACACACTATCCCCTGGAATCTGTTGCATCAGCCCCTAACTCCCTGAAGAAGCAAGAATGAAAAAGCAAAACCCCGGACTGTAGACCATTGTAAAGGGAATGATTTATTTTCATATCTGTCAGAACAAAAACCCATGGCCATCTTTCACTCATTGGCTCACTCAGTCAACATCCATGGAGTGCGCCCTGCACTGGATTCTGCTCTAGCGTGTGGCACAGCAGTGAGCAAAGCAGGAGCTGCTATTCTGCTTCCCAGAAGCAGCAGGTCCTGGGAAGGAACAAGTGCTTTAGTCCAGTGGCCCGGGTGCAGACCCTGACTCTGGAATCTATGCTAACAATGCCTCCAGGCTTAGGTTTTATCATGTGTAAAATGGGCCAAGCGTAGTACTCCTAGAGTGTGTATGTGTGTGTGTGTGTGTGTGTGTGTGTGTGTGTGTGTGTGTGAGAGAGAGAGAGAGGGAGAGAGAGAGATGAGTGAGGGATAGCAAGAATCCACTGAGACAGTAGCTCTCACTGTGTGACCCACCAGCTTCCTCTCTTGGCCTGAGGTCCAAATGAGCCCTGGCGTTGACTCATTTGGACCTCAGGCCAGCTGGCTCCAGGGCAGTGCTCATGCCTGCTCTGCCATCGCCGTGCCTGCATCGCTCAGGGATCCCAGCCTACTGTGCTGCTCAGCAGTATATATTCCACTTACCTTAAGGCCCAAGGACCTTGAAATACGTCCAGAAAGTCTACTAGAGGATGCCTGGGCTGTCAAGGTCATCTCAGTCAGGACTCCCAGGGTCACATTGCTTCCTGCAGTCCTTCCCCAGGTGGCTTGAGAAATGGCTGCCCCAGGAGGGTGCAGGGGCGCAAGGGTGCAGAGGCTCACTGATTACCAGGAAGAGAATAAGTTCAATTTCATGGTTAAAGAAGAAAAATGCAAGTTGAATTCCTGGCTGGAAGAGGGTTCTGGTCCCACCCCATGCCACCCTTGCCTTGGGATGCACTGTCTTTATGGTCTGGCCTATGAAATCTCAGTAGACTCCATCCTCAGAAATCAGAGTCCAGGATTGCAAACTGGAGGCCCCGCTGCAAGGTCTTGCCCACAGGTGGGTCTTGCCAGGCCTGCAGAGAGCTGGCTCTCTCACTTCCACATCCCCACCATTCCCCACCGTGACACCATGGAGTCTTCCTTATCTGGCCTGCGAAGGCACTGGAGCTTGCTGCTCCCTGTCTGCCCCAGCCTCTCCTGTTGCAGGTGGGAGGTGGGCAACTGAAGCTCAGAGAGGAAGTAAATGAGCTCAACTTCACACAGCCAGTGAGGGCCTGGGTGGAGGCCAGACCTTCCAAGGGGTTCCCCGGGGCCTCAGGGAGCAGCAAGGGCCAGCCGAACCTCCATGCAATACACAAACATGAAGAAATGAACCTTCTTGGGGTTCCCCAGGGGGAAAGTGGAGTGGGGCATCTTCTTGGGAGGGGGTGAACCAACTTCTGGTGGTTCCTTGTTGAGGCAATGCTGCGGCCATGGCCTGTTTGTTAATAATTACCTGGACGGGAGGCAGTGGGTGGTACTGAGAGGGCCTGGTTTGATCAGTCCTCTTGGGTTTGATGAGACAGAGACGAGAGAGCCATCCAGGGGGCCACTCCAGGACGGACTGTGCTGTGAGTAACTCGCTGAGACAATGGAGATGAGAGAGACCCTAGATGGAGGTGACCAACTGTTCCGCTTTGCCCAAGACTGAGAATTCTTCTGGGACACAAAACTTTCAGTGCTAAAACCACGGAAGTCCCAGCAAGCTGGGACAGTTGGTCACTCTTGCTAGAGGTGAGAAATACTCAGGCTAGAAAGCCCCCGACGTGGGATCCGTGGGCACTGGTGGTACTAGTGCCTGGACCCAGAAAAGCCTCCCCCAGGGACACACAGCTGGTTCAGGGCATCACTGGCTGGGGAACAAGGTCTTCTGGCTCCCAATCCAGGTGATCTTGGGGAGCTCATGCCAGAGGGGAGGCCTGTATGTGAGTGATGAGGTCCCATGTATGTTTCCAAATGATCTCTCCAACTGCTGACTGGAGAACAGAGAGCAGAAAGACTAGAAAGCTTTCTGCAAGGGTCTAGGTCAGGGGTCAGCAAACCACAGCTCTTAGGTCAAATCTGGCCCACCACCCACGAGCTAAGAATGCAAGATATAAAATATAAACATAAAATATAAGTGATAAATATAAAAAATAAATATATAAAGAGTTGAAAAATCAACAGAAGAACATTTTGTGACTTTTTTTGAAAAATAATATGAAATTTCACGTTTCAGTGTCCATAAGTGAAGTTTCACTGAAACACAGCCGTGCCTGTTCACGCTATTCACATGTCTTGTCTGTGGCTGTTTCCAGCCACCACAACAGTGTTGAGTAGTGACAGCAGAGACTGTGTGGTCTGCAAAACCACAGATATTACTATCTGGTGCTTTGCAGAAAAACTTTTCTGAGCCCTGGCTGAGGATCATAGCAGTGGAGGGGGTGAGAGGCTGAAGAACCTATAGGAGAGTCTAGGAGTTGGAGGCCAGCCTGGCCAGCACGGTGAGACCCCAACTCTACAAAAAGTTAGCCAGGTGTGGCTGTGGATGCCTGTGTCTCCAGCTGCTTAGAAGGCTGAAGGGGGAGGATCACCTGAGCCCAGGAAGTCAAGGCTACAGTGAACCATGATTGTATCACTGCACTCTAGCTTGGGTGACAGAGTAAGACGCTGTCAAAAAAAAAAAAAAAAAAGAAAAGAAAAGAAAAGAAGAAAGGAACCTGCAGGCCATGGAAATGGATTAAATGGGTTGTGGGTGGACAGAAGGCTAGAGGCTTTTTGGCCTAAGAACCAGATACTGGTGGGCCCATTTGATGGGGCAGGAGCAGATTTTGGGGAGAAACTGGGGCATCTTGTCTTGGGCAGATATTCATTATGAAAAGGGTACCAATTCTATCCCTGCAACTTTGGGCAGGTCACTTATGAAACATCTATGTCCTCATCTGTATGAGGTAACAATACAAAGACGAGTTCTACTGACCTCTACAGGGGTGGGAAGGTCAAACTAAATGGCATGAAAGTGGTTTGTAAACCATAAAAAGCACTCCACAGATGTTTGTGGAGCAGACGCTAAAATAAACTCCTATGATTGCCATCGTTCATGCAAAGTCACTGCACTAAGGAAATCAAATCATCTGAAAGAAGCGTAGGGGAAGCAGCACCTGGCTGAGTCTGGGGCCTTGGGTTTAGGCTGGGATATTTGCTCGGTAGGTGACTTGGGTGAATCACTTTGGGAGTCTTCGTTTTCTGCTCTGCTGAGTGATATTGCAGTCTAGTGCTGTACAGAGCTCAGACAGGTGGGAAACCCATGACATGATGGGTACAAGGAGTGTGCTTTGTAAGTCTAAAGAGTTGCCATCAGATAGCATTGCTGTCACCACACATATGGAAGGTGCTGGGAATTCCATTGCCTTCCACAAGCCCATCTGCAGGAGCTGAGGGTGTCACTCACGATCTCCGGGTGCTGGCCCACTGCCTGTCTTCTCAGTAGAGCCAGGTGTTCTGCTGGGGAAATTTCCTGGGCATTCGCTTCCCTCCCACAGGCCTGAGAGTGCAGAGGATGCATCTTATCAACTGTCTGCTCCTCCTGCTGGCTGGACTACTGGCCCTTTCTCATGGCCAGCTGACCTTTGGGCATGATGGTGACAGTTGCACCAGTAGCCCCCAACAGCAGATTCTGGAGGCAGATGAGGGCTCCCCCAGCCTCAAGATCACCCCTGCCAATGCTGACTTTGCCTTCCGCTTCTACTACCTGATCGCTTCAGAGACTCCAGGGAAGAACATCTTCTTCTCCCCGCTGAGCATCTCGGCTGCCTACGCCATGCTTTCCCTGGGGGCCGGCTCGTACAGCCGCACCCAGATCCTCGAAGGCCTGGGCTTCAACCTCACTGAGCTGTCTGAGTCCGACATCCACAGGGGCTTCCAGCACCTCCTGCACACTCTCAACCTCCCCTGTCACAGGCTGGAAACACGCATGGGCAGTGCTCTGTTCCTGAGCCATAGCCTGAAGTTCCTTGAAAAATTCCTAAATGACACCAGGACCTTCTATGAGGCCAAACTCTTCGACACCAACTTCTATGACAGTCTGGGTACAATGAAGCTTATTAACTACCACGTCAAGAAGGAAACTCAAGGGAAAATTGTGAATTTGGTCGGTGAGCTCAACAGGGATGTCATGATGGTGCTGGTGAATTACATTTACTTCAAAGGTAAGAGTCAAATCATTGGTGAATGCTAAATCCACACCACCACCCCCAACCCCCTAATTTGTTTATTGGTTAAATATATTTTTACAAAAAGGTAAGGAAAAAGATTGTGTCTGACAGGTTGAGCAACCCTCAGAGAATGTAATGGTAGAATGCTGTATATTGAAGACTCTGTAGTATTGAGGTTTCCATTCCTTCCTATCTTTAGACATATTTTCTTAATAAAAGCAATGTATAAAATATGTTATAGCCAGTAATCACAAGTTGAATTTCTGGATTTATATCTGAGCTCAGCCTGTACCAACAGTGCAAACAGATCAGCTTGTTTACTCAAAACAGGGATAAGATTAGTCTCTATTTCAAAGGTTGACTTTGAGGATCAAATGACCTAACCCCTGTGTATACTCCTTAGAAAAGGGCCGAAAGAATTGGGCAAACTGTAGCCCCTGGGCCAAATGTGTTCAGCTACTGGTTTTGTAAATAAAGTTTTATTGGCACACAGCTAGGCTCATTCATTTAAGTGTTGTCTGTGGCTGATTTCATGCTACAATGGCAGATTGATTCATTACTACAGAGACTGAATGATCTGCAGATGCCTCAAACATTTAATATCTCTACAAACTTTCTTGTTTGCTGACCGCTGACCATTTTATGTACTCAATAAATAGTAACTATAATTCATCTAATGATAACAATGCTCATTTTGAAGCTTAAAAAATATGTAAAAGCATAAAGGAGAAAGAAATAATCTCTAGTCCTACCACTCAGAGGCAACAAATGTTAATGTTTTAGCATCTTTTCTTCACCTTCCATTGACGCACCTATATGTTCACACAGTTGATATCATGGTGTGTGAACAACTTTCTATAGTGTGTATTAGTCAGGGTTCCATCAGAGGAGGAGCGCCACCTCAAGTCAGGATAGGGAGATTGTTATAAGAATTAGGCCCCACACCATTGTGGGAGGGGCTGGGAAAGTGAAGGTCTAGAGGAAGAGAGAGTTGGAAGGACAGAGAGAAAGTTGCTGATGCAAGTGGATAATTTGGAGCTTATAGTGGAATCTATATGCCAGGCGCATCCAGCCATCGGATTGGCGCCATGGAGGGGAGCATCACTACCGAGTTTCTGGTGGTTGCCTGGGGCTGCTGTTGTTCAGTGGGGTTCAAGTTGGGAAAAGGAGCTTGGAGACAAGCAGGGGCAAACTTGAGCACACAGAGCACCGCTGAGTCTGAATATTGTTACTGTTGTATCTGACCAATAGTGCCTTCAGAGAGCAATCTACTTCCAAACCTCACAGTTTTAACCAGCTTGAACCCAGAATCTACAGGGAGCAAAATTCTAGGAAGCAACTCCCAGCCTAATAATTCAGCCAAATTAGTCATCTCACATAATTTACATGTGGAATTTTCATGCACTATTGAAAACTTTTTAAAAAAAGTTTTGTTTTGAGGCCAGGCGTAGCAGCTCACGATTGTAATCCCAGCACTTTCGGAGTCCAAGACAGGTGGATCACTTGAAATCAGGAGTTTGAGACCAGCCTGGCCAAGATGGTGAAACCCCGTCTTTACTAAAAATACATACATATATATATATATATATATATATATATGTGCCAGGCTTCATGGTGCATGCCTGTAATCCCACCTACTCAGGAGGCTGAGGCAGGAGAATCACTTGAACTCAGGAAGTGGAGGTTGCTGAGATTGTGCCACTGCACTCCAGCCTGGGGGCTAAAATGAGACTCCGTCTTCAAAAAAAAGTTTTGCTTTGAAATAACAAAACTTTTAAACTCAAAAAAAGATTAACTAAGGAAGGAAGGGAAACAGTAGTATGGGTTTCACTATCAGGAAGACATTGGTTGGAATCCCAGATCCCTTGCTTTTTTCTGGACTAAAATTCCTGGCGTGGAGACCTCAGTTTATTCACCCTATCCACCATCACCTCACTGCACATCACCTCCTGTCCTTGCTTCCCTCCTCACACTGTGGAGAGTCTATGGCCATCATTGTGGTCACTTCTTTCAAACACTCTTTACTTCCTTGGTTTTCCATCCCTCTAGTCTGCTTACCCTCCAAAGCCGCAAGCCTGCTTAAACCTAAAGATCTAACTAGTCTGTATCTGTACCAGCAGCTGAGCGTGGTTGAAGAAAAACATCCCACTGGGTTGATGGTCTCACATGGTATTTGTGAATGCAGATCTTCACAGACCTCCTCACACTCTCCCGCAATCCTACTTACACATCTCTTTGCTCTCCACAACAACCATAACAGATTTGTCTTTCTCCAATGTCCTCCCCACTCATGACTTTCACTTAACCATCTTATGTCACTCTTCATTGAGAAAACAGAGTCAGTTAAATAGGAAATCCCTCATCTTCTCACATCCAAATGTACTCACCTCCAAATCTTCTCACCTCTAAATCTACTCACCTCCAAATCTACTCACCTGCCTGCATTTGAAACCACAAGCTCAGATGCTCCCCTGATCATGGCAGTAGTGACCCACCTCTTACAGAAGGCCGACCTCTCTGCTCACCCTCTGCCATCTCCTCTCTCCTTCTCACAGACGCTCACCTAACAATGAACCCTTCTTTCCAGCATCCCTGGTTTCTTCTCTACTCTATCAATCTGATTTACATATTAGCAAACTAACATCCTCTGCTATCTTTCATTTTAAAAAACTTAAATGAGGCTTAAAGGACCCATTCCTCAGGCTTGTCAGGTTTTGAATGGTCAAAATGGGACACCCTGATGGGCTCAGAGGGCAGGATCTGGAGTGACTATTTCAGTGGCTCGGAACCCCAGGTGGCATTCCCTGGCTGGAGGACTGGCTCTGTGGCCCACAGATGTCCTGTACCCTCTTTTCATCTTCCTTTCAGGACGGTGGGAGAAACCATTCAGTTCCTCCAGGACCATTACCCGGAACTTCTATGTTGATGAGCATACAACAGTCAGGGTGCCCATGATGCTGCAGGACCAGGAGTACCACTGGTACCTTCATGACCAACACTTGCCCTGCTCGGTGCTACGGATGGATTACAAAGGAAACGCAACTGCATTTTTTATTCTTCCTAACCAAGGCAAAATGAGGGAGATCGAAGAGGTTTTGACTCCAGAGATGCTAATGAGGTGGAACAACTTGTTGCAAAAGAGGTAATCAGCATGCTGTGGGGGCTGAATCTACAGTACTGTCCATCAAGTGTACCTCTCTGATGAAAGGCAGTGCCTCAAAATAGGGAATGATCACCAAATTATGAAAGAATTCTCACTTGCTCTAACACCTTCCATGGGCTTCCTTTAAACGATGAACTCTCCTGTTATATTTAAAATATGACTTCCCCTCATAAGGGGAAAAAGAGCCACAACAGGAGTTCAGAGTCTGAGTTCCAGGCAGTTCTTCCACTGCACGAGACTTGGGTTGAGTGACTTTGCCTCTCTGGGGGTTACCTCTGTGCAACGAAGAGGCAGCCCCTCTGGCCATGAAGGTTGACTAAGCTACCATAGTGGGGTTCAAAATAACTCCAGCCATCCACCCAGGGAATTAACAAGAAAGCTTCCCATCACTCTGGCTAGGATTGCAGAAAGTCATCAACCGTATGTAGGAAAAGGATCCTAGCCCAAGGGCACATGGGGATAGAAAATTCACACAACTCCCATGGTGGAGAGAATCCAATCCAAAGAAATTAGCTGATTCAAAGAGTGAAGCCCACAGGGTCATACAAGAGGCAAAGGGAAAACTGCCACCTGACGAGACTGACATCTGTCTCCTTGGGTACCTGAACACCCACAGAAAGCCACCTCCAAAGAGGGGTTCCCAAGGGCAGGAGATCCCACAGACAGCAAGCCCTTAGGGCAAAGGAATCTGGCCTTTCAACACTCATTTGTGGGATGTGGTCTCAGCCAAAGCTGTCTGTGGGGACAGAACTCAGATGGAATACAGCCAGCTAGAGAGGGCCACCAAGGAGGTCTCTGCCCAGCAGGGATCCTGGCTTGTTCATTAATCTAATGTTTTAACCCAATGCCTCTTTCAGGATTTTTTACAAGAAGCTAAAGTTGTATTTCCCCAAGTTCTCTATTTCTGGCTGCTATGTGTTAGATCAGATTTTGCCCAGGCTGGGCTTTACGGATCTGTTCTCCCAGCGGGCTGACTTATCTGGCATCAGCAAACAGCGAAAACTGCAGCTACCCACGGTAAGTCATCAAGAGTCAGCAACCCCTAGAGAACTCGTTAGGGCTCCTGTGCCCATGAAAGCTGCCAGGTGATGGGGCTCCTATGCTGCCACATGAAGTCTTAGAGCCTGAGTGTGTTCAGTCATCTACAGGCATCAGCATCCACCCATCGACCAGCCCTGGACATGATGCTCGGTGCTGGAGATACAGTGTCAAACCAGTCCCTGCCCTCAGAGAGCTCTCCCAGTCTAGTTGGGGATACAACGTCTTCACAGAGAGATAAATGCAATGATAGAAAACAGAGGAGCGGCCAGGTGTGGTGGCTTATGCCTGTAATCCCAGCACTTTGGGAAGTCAAGGCAGGTGAATTACCTGAGGTCAGGAGTTCAAGACCAGTCTGACCAACAGGGTGAAACCCCATCTCTACTAAAAATACAAAAATTAGCCTGGTGTGGTGGTGGGTGGTTGGTACCTGTAAGCCTAGCTACTTGGGAGGCTGAGGTAGGAGAATCACTTGAGCCTGGGAAGCGGAGGTTGCAATGTATCCAGAAATCACGCCACTGCACTCCCGCCTGGGTGACGGAGTGAATGAGACTTCATATCAAAAAAAAGAAAAAAGGAAAAAAAAGAGAACAGAGAGGAGAGACATAGCTGAGGCTGCCTTGGGTGCCTCTGTATTAGGGAGACTTTGTAGGTAAGAGAAAGACTCAAGACTTCAGCTAAGAAGTGTGCAAGCGGGTAGAGTCTTGGGTTCGAGAGCTTGAATTCTGGTTCTTCCTCTTATGTGATTGAAGGGTGCTAGTTTCTGAATTTATTCTCCTCACTTTTAAAGTGGACATTATACTGCTGACCTCATAGGATGGCTACAAAGATCAAATAAGATGCATACGAAGCCCCAGGCAGAGAGCAAGTGCTCATTTAATGATTGTGTGTATCAGGAGGTCTCCAGCTCAAAATCCACCCAAATGAAATTCTTGCTGTGTTATTCCCAACAAGTGGCCTTGCAGGCTGGAAAGTGCAATATTATTATTCCCTAGCAGTTTCCGGCTCTCGCAGTCTTGTCCAGGCCCCTCTCTTGCTGTCTTGGAGATAATGCTTGTGATTTTCCTCCCAGAGTTTCCACAAGGCCACCTTGCAAGTGGATGAGGCCGGCACCAAGGCCGCAGCAGCCACCAGCTTCGGGTTCACATTTTTGTCTGCCCAGATCAATGAGCATGTCCTGCAGTTCAACCAGCCCTTCCTTGTGGTGCTCTTTTCCACCAACACCCAGAATATCCTCTTCCTGGGCAAGGTCGTCGACCCCACAAAACAGTAGCCATCCCAGGGCTGCTCATCTGTTCCAAGCAGGAGGATGAGGCAGGCGAGGGCTGGGCATGAGTAACTCTGTGTTTAAGCTGGGGAGAAGGAAGACGCTGAGGGTCCAGGACAGCAGGTGTTGGCTGCTGGGGAGCGGGGAGTGGCACTGAGATGGGCACGGCCTGGACACTCTGCTCCCTGGAACTGTGCAGCCTCTGGCAGAGCAGCCAACCTCTTGGAGCAAGTTCCTGCCTCTAGACAGGGGGAGGGCCCTTTCCACAACAGGGCGGTTGTACCGAGCCAACAACATGATGCCGTGAAGACCCTGGATCAGTGTCTCGCGTGTGGTGGACACTCAATAAATGCATCCTCTGCCTGTCCCTCTGGGTTTTGCCCCAGACTCCCCTGGCAGACCTGGTCCCAGACACAGGTATGAGGAGCTCCAGGTTCCGTTCTAGTAGGTTTTCCAGGATTATGGAAAGGGGACAGGGTGTACCCAGTCAACTACTTCAGGCAGGGCTGGTACCCTGCTCCAGAGCAGGGCTAAGGAAGCCACAGAATGGCAGATCCCACCAGGGCAGACTCCACAGGGACCTGGCCAAGGGGGCTTGGTGACACCATCAGAGCAGGCAACACAGGGACCTAGCCAGGAGGGCTTGGTGACACCGTCAGAGCAGCCTCCACAGGGACCTGGCCAGGGGGACTTGGTGACACCATCAGGGCAGCCTCCACAGGGACCTGGCCAAGGGGGCTTGGTGATACCATCAGGGCAGCCTCCACAGGGACCTGGCCAAGGGGGCTTAGTAACACCATCAGGGCAGCCTTCACAGGGACCTGGCGAAGGGGGCTTGGTGACACCATCAGAGCAGGCTCCACGGGGACCTAACCAGGAGGGCTTGGTGACACCTTCAGGGCAGCCTCCACAGGGGCCTGGCCAGGAGGGCTTGGTGACACCATCAGAGCAGCCTCCACAGGGACCTGGCCAAGGGGGCTTGGTGACACCATCAGGGCAGCCTCCACAGGGACCTGACCAAGGGGACTTGGTGACACCATCAGGGCAGCCTCCACAGGGACCTGACCAAGGGAGCTTGGTGACACCATCAGGGCAGCCTCCACAGGTACCTGGACAGGAGGGCTTGGTGACACCATCAGAGCAGCCTCCACAGGGGCCTGGCCAGGAGGGCTTGGTGACACCATCAGGGCAGCCTCCACAGGGACCTGGCCAAGGGGGCTTGGTGACGCTACCAGGGTGGCCTCCACAGGGACCTGGCCAAGGGGGCTTGGTGACGCTACCAGGGTGGCCTCCACAGGGACCTGGTCAGGGGAACCCAGTGAGGCACTGCCCCCTCCTGTGGCTACGGAGATGTGGCCCATGTCTCTCCCAGGACAATGGTTGTGTCCAAGGAGTGCATTGCAGACCTGGGGCCTTTTGCCTTTACATCCAGTCTCTGTGCTCTGGATCTTCGGGCAAATCCTTGCCCTGTTGGGCCATCAGTTTCCCCACCTTTCTGGCCCAGCTCAGGCTGTTTGAGTATGTGGAGTGGGTCCACCCAGGGTCTGTGAGAATAAACCACCCCCTACCACAGGGCAAGGCAGGTAGATGGGATATGGTTCTGTTTGTCCTGAGCCTCGGCGATCTCTGGCAAATGCATTTCTCTGGGCAAGGCCCTGTGGGTTTTCTTGATGGTCAAGGCATCAGCAGCAGCTGGGTTCCAGCACGGTCTCCCGCCCTTGACCATGGACATGGAGTTCCCAGGAGAGTTAGAGCTGGGAACCGTCCAGCCCGGAAGGGCCCCACCTTTTCCTTGGCCCAGCTCACTCTGTGCTTTTAGAACCTGGCAACAGTTCCCACAATCTTTCCTATCAGCTGCTCACCCTCCCGCCAGGCAGCCCATTTCACTCCCACCCGGTGGCATCTAGGTTGCCAGCACGTTCAAAACCAGAATTCCTGGTTGCAAGTCCCGGTTGTGCTCCTTAGAAGCTGTGTGATCCTGGGGGAGTCATTTCACCTCTCTAGATGTCAGTATCTTCATCTATAAAGCGGGGTCACTACTGACCTCGTACGGCTGTTGGGAGGATTAAACAGTGACTGTACCTGTCAAGTCTTACAACAGTGCTACGCAAATATTAGCTTTATTACTATTACCCCCGTTCCCGTGGCCCTGACAGTCATGCTACCACCACAGGCTCTCTCCCCACCAAATCCCACTGCCATCTGGGGATCCCAAACCTTTCTCATGTTGCCACTTTCACTACTCAGGAAAAATGACACTGAGTCCCAGCCAGGGGAAGTTCCAAAAAGGCAGAACTTTTATAGGCCCTTCTCACCATGCAGGTGCCTGAAGTTCCTAACTGAGCTTCCAGAAGGTTCTAGATAAGCATTCAGCCCTCAGCTCTCCTCTCTTGGTAGACCCAGTGGGGGCAGAGTCTCCCCTCAGAGTCTGTCCTGGACTGAAAGATGGGGCCTGTTACTTTAGGACCAGCTCAAAGAATCTTCTAGGCTTCGGGAATCGTAGCTGCCTGCCACGCCCCCTCCAGGGCTCCTGCTCAGTGTCCAGGAGGCCCAGGGCTGATACTGTAAACTCAGCCATGGGCTGCAGAACCAGACCCAGCTGGCCCAGGCTCTTGGCTCTGGCAAGAAGGACGTCTCACTGTCACAAACCCAGAATTTTCACCAAGAAGAAGGTAATCAGGGGAAGAGGAAGGAGAGCCACCTCCAGTGTTGATGATACTTTAAGAATCAAAATATTCCAGGATTTGTGTGACACCATCCCTGGTCCAAATAATGCTGCAACCACAGGAATAGGCTCGTTGCAAGGAAACCAGGAAATTGGTATTTGGAGCAATAGACAGACCACTCTTTTGTAGTGGAAAAGTCCTTGCAAAAGGGAGGAAGATGGAAGGAGAAAGACCAAAAGGGTTTCTCTCCCTTCCTGCCCCTAAAATATAGCCCTGAGCTGGACATGAGTACAGCCTCAGGAGAATTTGACCAGGAAAAGTTCCAAAAAGGAAATTGTCCAGCAACACCATTTTGAGTTAGTCGTACCAGCTCTGGGCTTCACTCAGGAGAAACTGTCCAATAAAATGCCTGAGGACACCCAAGGCCTCTGGGGCTCAGGGAAATGCACGCTGTCCTTTGTACCCCTTGATTTTATTAGCAGAAAAGCAAGCCTGCTAAGCTCAAAGAGTGATCCATTTCCCCTTCTGCCTCCTGGGAAGCTGGAGTCTGTTTTTCAACAACCAGGCAAGAAATAAAGTAAGGCCCAGGCTGACTCGCTCCCTCCTCTGGCCCCACAGAGGCGGATGGGTGAGTCGATTCCAGAGTGGAAGAGAAGCCTGAAGAAGGCCAGGGTCTAGGGTTACTATGGCAACAGCACGGCAGCGGGTGGTGGTGTTGAATGAGCGATGGTCTGATGGAGAAAGAAAGGAAGCAAGTCACCCTCCACTCAGCCTGGAGAGTGAGGCCTCCTTATTCTGATTCATCCCATCCCTCTGCTACTCAAAAATAGCCAATGGCTCCCTGTTGCCTACAAAATACAGTTCAAAGGACTCTATCTACAGCCGAAACCCTCCCTGATCTGCTCACTGCCTGCCCGTTCTGCTTCAGTTCTTCCTATTGCTCTCATGTGCCCCGTGACTGCAGTCACAGAAAGTCTTGTTTTCCCAGGTACCCTATAGGGTCCCACCTCCAAGAATCTGTACTCTCTCAAGATCTCACAGAAACCCCTCATCTCCCTAAGGCAGACTGTCATCCCACCATCAGACATGGTTAGCCTGATGAGAGTGTCTGCTCCCACCCCCACCATCCCTATTAGATAGGACATCTCAAAGGTGGGGCCCTGTTCACCGTGCATTCCTTCACCTCACCTGGCCCCAGAGCCAACTGGATATGAGAGAGGCCCAACTAGTATTTGTTGCATGAATGAATGAATAAATGAATGAATGAGTAGAAAAGGTTGAGCCAGGAGCAAGGTCACTGAGCTATTTGTTCAGTATCTTCACCCCTTGACCTGGCCCTGGAATTGATTGGGTAAATATTTGGTTCAGCTCCTCAGATTTCAAAATGCCCTTTTGGAGCATTAAAAAAAATATATATATATAAAATTAAAAAGACTTCATGTGGGAGCTCTTGCCTCTGTAGAGCAGCGCCTGAGTCCACTTTTCCTGTTGCTGTTCACTGGTGGGTTCCCTCATTTGTGTGGCCCTTGTTATACCGCTAGTGAGGCAGACCTCTCAAGAGCAGCTGTGAGTGCTCGAAGGAGTCACACATGTTTGTGAATTCAGGAGTTATCTTCCATCCGGAAAACAAAGTCTTTCTGTACTTTGCAACTGGGGGGAAGGGCAGAGGAAGCCAATGTGAGTGGTAAGAGTGGTCATGGCATAGCCTAGGAAAAGGTGACAAGTTTGCATGATTCTAGTAAATTTGTGTGTAGAGAAATGCAGCGTAGGTTTATTCAATGTTTTATTCTTCCATTCAGCACCTGGGAGAAAACAAACGCCTTCAAGCTCTCAACACTGCAGTTCACCTCTGGTCACCAAAATGTGTGTGGGATTCCTCCGGCCACCAAATTGTCCAGTGGACACTAATTGGGTGTCCTGCAGTTCAATTCAATTCAATTCCGACACTATCTACCTGGAGATAACTTCAGATCCGGCAGGTTAAGGGCTCTGTCACACAAGATGGCCCCCACTTTAGATGCCAGTTGCAAGCAGTAGGCTGTCCCCTATACTTTATGACCAACTGGCTATAAAGCGGGGTTCCCACAACTCCCTCCTTAGGTTCAATTCATTAGCTAGGAGGGCTCACAGAGCTCAGGGAAATACTTATGCTTACCGGTCTACTAGATTAACAAAGGATACAGATGAGTAGCTAGATAAAAGAGAGTCAGAGGGCCAGGTATGGGGTACTGGGCACAGAGCTTCCACAGTGGCACCTTCCAGGTGGTCCTCCCCCTGTGTACCACCCTCCAGGACCCTCCATGGGTTCAGCTGTCCAAAAGTGTCCAAGCCCTGTCCTTTGGGGTTTTTATGGAGTTTCATTACATAGGCATGATTGATTAATTATTGGCCACCGGTGATCAACTCAGCCTGTGGCCTCTCTCCCATCTCTGGAGGTCATGAGGAGCAAGGTGGGCTGAAAGCTCCAATCCTCTAATTCCATGATTGGTTTCCCTGGTAACCAGATCCCTTATGAGACTACCCAGGAGCCCACCAAGACTTGCCTCACTAGAACAAAAGATGCTCCTGTCACCCAAGAAACTGCAAGGGATCCAGGAACTCTTCATCAGATGATCTTATTACTCTGGAAATTACTAAGCTCTCAGGAATCAAGTCAAAGACAAAATATTAAACAAACAATTCTCTTAGTACGCTTATCTACAAGGGTGGTAGAAACCCTGTCTCAGGCACTCAGGCCAGAGACTAA